AGCAGGACTGTTAAGATGCAGCAATGATACAAATGATAGGACACAGGAAGAGCTGTGACAAGTGGCATTGAGAGGCTCTTCTAGAATAGGGACCAAAGAAATCTTCTCCCTTATGCCTGCAAAATTGCCATTGCAAAGGCAACTGATCAGTTGAGGATCTTCAGCCCCACCAGAGTACACCGGCAGTGTCACCCCAAATTCATCTCCAAGGTACTCCTGAAAGACCAGGCAGCTTTTTTGGTCTGCAGACCTCCCTAGAGCACTATAAATTCAGACGAAGGCAATAACACATGTCTGAGGTATCAAACACAAAGCAGTTACTCCGGTGTAAACTCTGTGCAAAGGAAATTTCCATCTGTCCTGGGTTATGATAAATATTTCCATACTTGTGATGTTGGGATTACAAAAATAACTGCAATCTGCTAAATATAGAGTTATCTACAATCTGTCTATCTTGTATCTCTTCCCCAATCAGCATTGTCTGAGCAGTTTCAGCCTGGCTATTAAATGTTCCACTCCCAATAACCACGTATCTATGCTCTGCTTGTTGAAGAGGAGGTAGAAACTGTTGAGCCCTTATGGCAGTGAGCAGGGCCCAACTGCCTAATCCTATTTTTCTATTGCTTTGGCCTCTAGATCTTCTGCCCAGGCAGCCTGGTCGCTACCAGAACCACCATATGTATTTGGCTATATGTTAATACAGCTAATGCAGCATCACTTTAAGGCTGCACATGAAGATGACATCCTTGTTACAACACTCTTTAAACAATATCTACAGTGTTGAAATCACAGGGGCAGTATTCCAAATCCTCATGGTGTCCTAAAAAAGGTGGGTTTCAAGAAATGGGCCTGTAAACATGTGTTGGGTTCGCTGGATACAGCACAAGAAAATGGGCAGTACAGCATCCTTGCACAGGACTGGACTCAGTAACATTACAGATTTTTTGATCCTTAAAGTCTGTTATATTTTCAGCCTGTGAGTGCACAAATAGCCTGATGCTGAGTCATGAAAGCCAAAGGGAGCAGAGCTACTATTTAACCCCATTCTCCAGCTCCGACTAAGAAGAAATCTCCAGCTAGGACAGGAATGGGATGCTTCAATCAAAGCACGTATCTACACCCACCTACAGGTTGGGGGCTTATTGTCATGCCCATCTTGCAGCTGGGGAAAGTTGTTAATTATTTGACGTGCTTACAGACTCAGTAGCTACTCTAAGGTGATCACCTAACTGAGATTCACCTTAAGAAGGGTGTCTATAATACCTAAGATGAACAAGTCTTTGGTGGTGTGCGCTTCTCTCTGTCAATATAGGAGCCTAAACAACTCCCCTGAGCTGGACAGCTTAAAGAAAGGTAAGGTTAGGAAAGACAAATCCCACTCTTGTATCAGACTAGATCTCAGCATGTCTTGACTCCAAATCTAACCAAGGCTAAACAGCTAGCAGCACCCATGTAAGTGAGGGTGGATGCAACAAGCAAACTTCAGCAAAAATGAAGCTCAGATAAACAATGACCGCGTAGGTTTCTGCTTCTAAAACGTTTGGTCCCTATGCAATGCAGAAAATAATAGCACCTAGAATATTTTAATGTCACTTTCCTAACTGAATCTACATTATAAACCAAGCTTCTTGGAAAACATGATAAAGGGGAGAAGTGATTTGAATGCCAGATGAGCCAAAGCCATAAAGATACTGCTCCAGACTTCATTAAATTCAATCAGACCTCCGTTTGCTTCATGAGTGCTGACTCATAGATCAACTGTGCCTTTGAGTACACCCAAAGTTCAAAGGGTTTCTGCTGCAATATTGTGCCCCAATTCTTCACAAAGTCAGAGATCAAGCTCCAAAATCCTCATTCAGATTTCCAGCCAAAAGTCTCAGAAATCTGGGGCTCTGACCTATCTCCTCTACTGTAAGTCGTAATCACAATGAAGTTAAAAAGGATCTTGCATCACACAGATTTTGGATTTTTAGTGGGGAAGAGAGGGAAGAAAATTGTACTAAAACTTCACATTTTTTTAACCTCAAATTCTTACTTGTTTTTTTTTTCTTTAAACAGGAATGGTGCTTTGTGTAGCAATTCTTGAAAACCTCTGAACCTAGACCAAGCAAGTTCAATCTTTTTTGCAAATGTTCGCACAATATGGATAAACTTGCAAGGTGTTTTTTTTTTTATAGAATGAATATTCAAAGTTGGATTAAAATGTAATTGTCTAGTGCGTATTTTCTATCATTGTCTCAACGAAAAACTAGTGCCTTGAACATCTTTTTAATATAAAAACATTTTTACCAGCAAAGAAGAGCCAGGTCCTGAAACATATAAAAACTCCTCTTTCCATTTTTTTAGCTCCATTTCAGCAGAGGCTTACACATAAGCTTAATTTTGAGCAAGCTGTTTCACCAGAACAACTCATTCACTTACTGCCAAGCACGTGCACAACAGTTTTCACAACGAGGGCTTAATTTCCAGGGAGGAATATTTCTGGCACTGAACTACAAGTAATTTTAATTCTTACTTTGACACCCACAGAGATATACCTCCCGACACTTACGCTGTGTCTACCTCAGGATACGTGAACCCTGCAAACCCAGTGTTTCCCCCCCTTAACTGTTCTCAGTTATTTACTCTCCACCAGCCATGCTCTAGGATCCTGGATTATTTATTACATTTGGTAGCTCTGGCCTGTAATTCTGTAACATCATTAATTTTGTAAAGCCTTTGCAACACGCTTCCCTCAAAGACGCCAAACAAAACAGAGTTGATTATTGTTATCAGCGCTGCCATTATCACTGAACGCCACTCAGGATAGCAGCACTCTCAGTAGCTGGGGGAAAGGAAAAATAAGAAAATAAAGCCTTCCTACTCATATTGTCATTATGCTCCGAACAGCATAAACGATGCTTTCTGCATACATAATAATTAAATGCTTCCCCCGTCACCATCGTGTTGTATCTACCAGGAGCAGACTCAGCCTGCCTAACCGGGTATCTCCTTCGATGCAGGAGCTGGGGGAGGCAAGGGGAGATCACGGCCATTAAAAACTCCGGCCCTGGAGGAACAAGAGCACTGAACCCCTCTTCTGCAGACCTTTGAGATGCAGCAGGTTGAGGTTGGTGGTGCTGGTCCCCAGCAGCAGGGTCCTGCCTTCTTCTATCGTGACGTTATCGCCATCTCGCGGCTGGTGGCCAGCAGGCCAGCTGGAGTCCTCATCCCACCGGCCACAAAACTGGAGGGCAAGCTGGAAAAGAATAAAAAATAAATAAATAAATAAATAATAAAAAAAGACATAGAGAAGTTCAAAGCTCACTCCTTCCCACCCTTCAGGAAGACAGCAGGCCGAGAGCACAGCGGAGGAGGTGCCAATGCCACGCCGGCTACTTTCCCGGCAGGACCTCGTGTAGAGCGAAGGGATGGAGAGACTTTGGGGTTGGAGAGTTCTCGGCCTTCAGAAATGCCTGTCGCTGTTTAGGGATGTCACTTGTCTTGTTCTGGTCTGGTTAACGAGGGGCTTGCTGCAGGTCTGGCTGCGGAAAGTCTGCAGTTTTCCTGGTGTGTGTCTCTCTCTGCCTCCCGAAAAGCAGAACTGCACGTTAATTCCTGGCAATGTCATGAAAAACAGCCTGAAGAGTTTAGAATTAAAACGTCCTGCTGGACGGGCCATATTTTGCTTTGCAAGCTTTTTCAAAGGCTCTCGTGCCACTTGTCTGTATTTAGAGAGACATTAATTCTTTCAAACACCTTTTTAGCTTTCTTAGCTTATCCGGTATTATTACTGCCCCTCCTTTGACAACTTGCACATCAACATTTAAACAGAAATTAGACTGACTCATGATGAGCAACGGCAAAATGATGCCTGCCTGTTTCGAGTCATGGTTCCTCCTCACCTCTAAACTTTAAGCATGCACTTAGCAGTGAAGGTTTAACTGATTTCTTGAGGAATATGTGTATATTTTTGCATAGACATGTGTGCACAAGTGCAGACACGGGCATTCATAACATATTCTTTTGGACTTACATGTGAACTAGCAAGAACAGCCTCAACTGATCTGAGGCAGAGGGGGAAACCAGACATGGACATATTTGTGGTCCTCACTGGGTTGTGCTAATCCAAAACAGCAGTGGAAAGAATAACCTCAGTACAAAAGCAAAATATAGTTACCCTTTTTTCAGTCACAGCCCATGATGTGCATTAAAGCTTTTGCTCTGGAGCTGTGGTTTAGGTGAATCAATACTGGTGGTGTTATGATAGTTATTCTTTCAACTGTACCATTGTCAATTTTAGCTTTATGTGCCTGATGTTTTATACAACATTTCCTGTGGCACCCAGAGCAGTCAGATAACTATTATACAGTGACTACTGTCCTAACTATTTACACCAAGGAATGGGTGTTGGTTACCAGACTAAATGTTAGAACTCGTTTATGTCCATCCTGTCTGTAGGGTGCAGATGCTGACATTTTCTACCGTCTGACCCATTCTATGCTACAAATGGAATTACTTGGTTCAATTTAGACTGAAGCCTGGAACTGCATTAACACACACACAGTGGAAACATCTGGGGAGCTAATCTCTGGTGTCAGAGGGAGTGAACCAATTCATCACTGCAGAAGTACAGATAAGCCTTCACATCTGTACACAACTGTTACAGAGAGTACAATCTCTACATGTTCGGTAAGTGTAAGAGGACAAGTTTTATCTTCATTACTTGCAAACATATATTTATATATTTCAGAGATTTAGGACAAAATTCCAGCTGAAAAGATAGATATCTTTATCCACTGTCTTTCCAGAGAGGCTATGAATTACTCTTCATTGATAGTGCTTTGAAGCAGATTATGTTCAATATACAAGGGTACACAAATAGATCCATTGAAAAAGCAGCTAATTAAACTTGGTTTTATCTCACAGCAGGGGACAGAGGAAGGTGCAGTTCATGAACAGGCACACATTTCCCAGATACACTGCTTATCAAGGCAACTGTAGGACAAAATTACAAATTCCATAAATTCCTGTCTGGCGCAAGCTCAACCCGTGCCACCAGTGAAAAGCTGCATGATACAGTTGTGAAATGGTGGGATCCATCAGGACATTTTGTTGAGATCATTTGTTAAACAGCTTAAAGTCACTCTGACATCACTCTAACCCTCTGAAGTCACTTAGAAGCCTCCGATTAACTCTAACAGGAAAGCAAGGGCATGAGGAATATACCAGGTTGTTCTTGCTAGCCCCAAATATTTAGTAAACCGTTGATAGAAGTCTTGCAAGAGTTAAGAAGAACAAACTCCTCTTCTGAATTTAACTTTTTTTTTTTTTAAGATGGTTCCCCTTTCTAACTACAAAACACATAAGTTCCTCGTTCCTCATACTCTATATAACATTGGTATTTAAGCTACTCTTGCTAGGTTTCTGCTGTGACCTCTTAGAAGACTGTACCTATTCAGCTCTACTAATATCCTGTGGCATAAAAGCTAGCAGCTCATACATGTCAGTGTAACAAGGCACAAGAAATGGTTGATACCATCTGGACAACTAAGAACTATCCACCGTCTTAAGAATGTAACTCAGAAATGATACAAAGACATTGAAACCAAATGCTCTGGTATTCAGACGATATATGTGTCCACCATAAGAGGCAGTCCCTACACCATCAACCTAAACAAAGAAAGAAAGTTTACCACTCAAGACTGACTAGACAAAGACAGAAAATCAGTTGGTCAAGGTCATAAAAATCTCTATTGTTCCACCCAGTCTGTACCTAAAGTTTTCCAGTGAGAAGATGCCTGGCTTACTTTGCTGGCATGTGCACCACCTGTATGTGCATCTTTCAAGTGATTTCTGGTTTGTTTTCTTTTTTCACTTTCTTTTTTTTTTTTTTAAAAAACTGAAGTAAACAAGTGAACATCAACTAAAATACACAGGACCAAGAGCTATTTGTAAACATCGTACCAACCTCGCATTATCACAGAAAGAATAAATCTAAAGCATCTCTCTGAAGAAAGAAAAGGGAGTTTGCTCAAGAGAAGTACTTTAAATTACCACAGTGCAGAAGAACATACAGGGGTGTGAGAGGGAAAACAGCTCTGTAGAAACTGAGGAAAGACATCAAGCTGATGGAGACAAACGAGATGGCAGAAGATTTTATTTGGTGCCTCTTCTCTTGCAGTCCTATACCCTTCCCTAAATGAAAAAGCACCTCCTTAAAGATCTTTGAAAGAAGAAGGTGTGGTCTAGTGCAAGGCTAGTGAAATGGCCAGCTGCCCTGAATCACAAGTACAGTTTGCCTGGACCTTGTGAATTCCAACCTTCTCCCTGTTTTCTGGAAGAAAAACACAGTGCAATCTGCGACTGTAATGGACATTTTAGGTTCCTTTGCTGAGTGGTTGTGGCTATGGCCAGTTCCTGTTGAGCAGCCCATGCTAAAATAACGCAGACTAATACACATATAAACTAATTGCACATCCCTCATCAAGTAGGGTGGGTGACAGACCTGCAGCTCTAGAAATCCACACTCTCATCTAGCCCTGCTAGTTTCCCTCCGTGTGATATTTGGAAACATCTTCAGTTAACATGCCTGTCTTGTCTAGCTGCCCTGTTATCAATATGGGACAGGTTGTAGCCCACACGGACCCTACAGACACCAAACACCACCGTCTCTGCGTGCTAAGGGTGTCATGGGGGACTTTGCTGCCCTGCAGGCTGAGCATGCTCTTATGACCACTGGGACGGACTGACTCACTTGAGACCCCGAAGAAAAAACAGTGAAACAGCCATCTTATCTCTTGGAGAGCTGTATGGCCATGTCCTAAACATCTTCACCATGCAGAGACTCCAGCTCCTTTCCCTCCACCTGCAGCTGAGCAGGATAAGAACATCCCCCTCACGGTATTTTTTATAGAAACAGAACTGTTTCCTTTTCCATTTTTCCCCCTGCTTGGCACCCAGCATTTGACTTATGGTGTTTAATTTAAACACTTCTCAGTAAGACTGAAGAGCAGCAGCAGCTGCAAGCGCCAGGGTCATGGCTGAGTGCCCATCCCGTGTGTGCTTGTTGAATGAACCAGGAGGAACCCGCAGAGCCAAGGAAAGCTGCAGATCAGCGGCTAGGGATGGGCATTTTCCTCCTCATTTTCCTTCCAGCTTCAGCATGGGGCACAACAAACGGCAGGGAACTTGAAAGTCAAGATGGGGGAAAGAGGAGTTGGCATAAAACAAGCCCCGAATGGTGAAGTTGGAGCGGGCTGGTTGCAGCTGCTGCAGTGAGGTGGTAGCTTCACACTCTGGCTTCAGCATATACCAGAGTTGGAAAGATGATTTGGAGGAAATAGAGTTTATGAGTCCATAACATCTCTGCATCCATCTGTCACTGTCACTGCTCCCACTTGAATGTGGCCAGCTTCAGCTAGGTTTAACAGGAAAAGTGAGCCTACAAAGGCGTTTTATTCCTGCAAGGTTCATGAAAATCAGTAGCTAGATTGAGGCAAGAGACTCTTCTGGTGTTTTCCCCAGGCACATAAATATAGCATGAACTGAACACTTAAAATGGTCACCGAACTTTTGCAGTATGTGCCCTCACATCAGACATCCATAGGAAATCCACCCTGGCAACATTTCACATTTTGAGTCCAGTACAGCAGATAACACTGACTCGGTAGGAACCAAACCTGCAAGATATGGGGAGAAACTCCAGGTGGGTGGGAAGTCACAAGCACTGGGAATCTCTAAGTATCCATTTGTTCTTCCTGGGGTAACAATGAGCACGAGGACCAGGTAGGGGATCTGACATGAAAATTCAATGAGCAGAGTCCTGCAATATCTTCCCACCTCTGACACTCACTTGGTGCATGTCACATGCAACTCACTTCAAGGCCACAGCTTATGTACCAAGCCCATAGCTTGTGTATAACACAGATTAATTTGGGGGGGGGGGGGGATCAACTCCTTCTCCATTAGAGCTTCGAAATGATGAATGAATTATGTAAAGATAAAATAACGTTTTAATGGCATACAATAAAAGATGCACAAGCTCCTTGTAATTCAGCACATTATCCCCTTCCTCCCTGCTGCACCTTCTTTTTCCATTTTCAGGCAGATTTCTTTCCATTTTATGTTTTTAGCTGCTGCTGTTGTCAGCCGCCTGGGGTTGCCTTTATGTCAGCCTTTGGGGACACGATCTTTCAGTACCAGTTTTTCAGCTTGTGCCTATGACTACCAGGGCTCAGAAACAGCAGCAGCAACTGC